CTCCTTCTCCTTCACCTGCTCTTCCATCACCTCCTTCTCCTTCTCCTCCTAATTCACTTCCTCCTCCTTCACCTCCTCTTCCATCACCTGTCCTGCTCCTTCCACTCTACCTCCTCCTCATTCTCATTCTCCACATCTCCTTCATCCTCCTCCTCGCCCTCCTCCTCCTAATCTTGTACAGTTTTTCAAGACACAGTTTTTCTGTGTTGCCCTGGCTGTGCTGAAAATTGCTCTATAGATCAGGCTAGCCTCCAATTCACAGAGATCGTCCTGCCTCTGCCTCCTGAGTACTGGGATCAAAAGTGTACAGAACCACTACACACACAAAAAAAAACAAAATAAACAAAATTCATTTTTTGTTTAAAAATTTATTTATTTTTATGTGTATTGGCATTCTGCCTGCACATATATCTGTGTGGTGGTGTCAGATATCCAGGAACTGGAATTAAAGACAGTATTGAGCTCCAATGTGGGAGGTGGGGGTTGAATTTAATGAGCTGCATATTATCTTCCAGCAGTAATTTCTGTAGGCTCCATACTAGGAAGTTGTTTATTTTTTATTTTATTACATTTTGTATTCATTTTATATACCAACCATGGATTACTCCTATCCTCCATCCTCCCGCCCCACAGCCTTCCCCCCCCCCAACAACTCACTTCCCATTCCCACCTCCTCCAAGGCAAAGTCTCCCATGGGGAGTCAGCAGAGCATGATACATTCAGTTGAGTCAGGTTTAAGCCCTTCCTCCCTGCACCAAGGCTGCATAAAGTGTCCCACCATAGACACTAGGCTCCAAAAAGCCCATTCGTTCACCAGGGATGGATCCTGATCACACTGCCTGGGGGCCCACCAGACAGTTCAAGCTAAATGACTGTCTCTCATGTCCAGAGAGCCTAGTCCAGAACCCATGGGGGTTACACAGGTATTGGTCCACAGTTCCTGTGTTTCCACTAGTTTGGCTGTCAGTCTCCATACTTTTTCCCACCATAATATCAATGTCCCTTGCTCATAGAATCTCTCTTCTCTCTCATCGATTGGACTCCTGGAGCTCGGCTTGGCCCTCAGCTGTGGATCTTTTCATTTCTTCCATCAGTCACTGGGTGAAAGCTCATGAGGGGCCTCAGCTATTGGTCCACAGTTCATGCATTTCCACTAGTTTGGCTGATTATCTCTGTACTTTCTCCCATCAGGAACTAGATGTCCCTTGCTCATAAAAACTGTCCTTCCCATTATCATTAAGTCTATCATTTCTTGGTAATAAGGAGATGCAGGTACTTGTGGAGAATCATACCTCACATACATTTCTATCATACTATTAACTTCTGGACATATACTTTAGTAGGAGATGAACACTCACTTTCATTACAT